GCCAGTTGAGGGCGCACGTGGGATTGTGGATAATCCCATCTAATAAAAAAAAGTCCTGCTAAAATGACTTAGTTTTGCAATAGTGTTTTGTTGTTACATTGAAATTTTAATGCCTTACTAATGTGAGTTCTGGAACATAATGTGAAGTATGTAAATGTCATTAACCTTACAAATGTAAGCAGTCGAGCTTCTTTAGCCATCAGAGCTAGATTGCTTGTAAGGAAGCTGTAGGCAACAAGGCATGGTTTTGGCGCATACAATCTGGATTAAGTCCCAAGGCTGCCCAGTGCTCTTAAGTCACGATGAGTATGTTGTATAGGGATTTTTCAGCCTTTTTCCATGAACAGATCCATATGCCTTCTGTATTAGTCATGGATCCCTATGTAGTGAGTAACAACCTCCTGAAATCAGGTTTGCCTTCACCGATGCCTTGCACGTGTCGAGTTGCCCTGGACCTAGGAGCCACAGCCTGAAACCCAGTGTGTGTTGCAGAAAGAGGAAGGGAGGTGAAATTACCCACCACCAGCGATCTCCTTCACTTACATATTCAAGTTCAGGTACTAAGATGTTTTCCTTGTTTGACTCTTGGTGTCTTTGATTTCTGGCAGTTAGTAGTGGAGGAAAAAGGGATTTCTAAATACTATCCACAATACTCTATGAGCAGATTTGTAGCACTTGAAGATGGGACAGGAAACAGAGCTGCTTTGAACAATTTAGTGTGTGCTGTTCGCATAACCCCGTATTGCTTCATGACATCTGTCTGTTCTCACAAGGCTGAGCTGGCACCTCATGTTCTAGTATCTGAGCAGTTCTTAGTGTCTGGTAAAATTTGTCGGTAAAGAGCCCCATCACCATGTGATGCAAGTGGAAGCTTTGCTGTGCCCTTGTTGACCAATTTTTAGCATAGCCTGAAGGGAAATTGTTCCATTACCCAGATGCACGCAAATGTGTGATCAAGAAAACAAGCTGAATAGTAATTTTCATTTGAAGTGACCTAAATTAATGTGCTAATTCCAGCAGTTACTCAAACCTGTGGAGACAGGAACCTCAGGAAGAGAGGGGAGGATGGTGGAGCTGCAGTTAAATCTTTGGGGCACAGTCAGTTCTTTGTCTTTGCACTGAAATCCAGTGGGAATGTGCTAATCACATAGCAGTGATCACACTGGAAGCAAAACCTGGAGAGCAGGTAGCGGATGGTAGCTAGCCAGAAAATTCCAGGTTGTGTTTTGCTTTTTGATCTAATAGTGTGTTGAAGAAGGATATCTGGAGTTCCATGTTAAAATGTGAATGAGCTTCCTCAGTATTCTGGTTTTTGTTACAGTGCATCTGTGTTGGAGGTGAGCTGACCTTGCGATGTTACCTGTTTGCAGGCTGTGTTCTAGAGAAGCTTGTGGAGTGAGGGAGCTGGCCTAGTAAATCTGACCTTGGCATCCCAAACATGCTGCGTGTGGGAAGAGTCCTGAGAAGCTCTGAAGGACAGCACTTGATGGTCCTGCAATGTCTGGTCATGGTGGAACACTGAGAACTGCAGAAGACTCACCTGGAGACCTTTGGGAAGAGGATCAGCGCCTGTTAATGTTTACAGTTTACACACCTTTTGTTAGATGGTTTATTCCATTCATGGGGCTGGATTAAAATTGTATGAGCTTTTACGCTCATTTGCTGGGAGGAGCTTGCTCTTTGCAGGGACAGTTTGGTGGTACAGTTGTGACAGCAAATCCTCCTTAGTGCTGACAGTTCTGCAGTGGAGGGGAAAAAGGCGACTAAAGTACTCCCCAGTTTCCTCAGAGGTTTTGATAAAGTCTGCTGGTAAAGCTTATGCCAGCTTTGTAAATGTGACATTTACATTTATGGCAGTTTACCCTTCCTGAGATAACTAAGGCACTGGCCTGTGAAGGCCTCAAAGCTTTTCCTTTTAACTCTGTTTACATCTTATATACACACATACTGTGTCTCCTCATCTGTTCTAGAAATATTCTTTTGCTCAAGGTGACTTTGTTTAATACTGGTATGTGCTGGGTTGTCTCCCAAGCACCTACTTTGAGACCTGAAGTAAAAGAGGAATGGCTAGTAGGATCCGGAAAACCCATACTTCCGGATTGCTCCTTGCGTCTCTTTCTGGGTGCTGGGTTGGTGTGACACATGTGGACAGGCCTCTGCCGATGCACCCTATTCTGGAGAGCTGGGTGCCCAGTCTTGCCCTGAGGTCTCTCATGCGGACAGGGGAGACCTGCCAAGGCTTTGCCCTTCCAGCTAGAGTGGGTCCATGAGTTCCCAGAGCCGTATTCTCGTGAGGAGCACACTCTTTGTGTTTCCAGTGGGAAGCTGGCTACCGCCTGTTTGTGTATTTTAGCTTACACAACATGT